CTGTATACGGTATACCGTGTACTCGGTATCCCAATCCCGTACTGTATCCTCCGCGTGCTGTGTGCTGCGTGCTGCGTGCTGCGTGCTGCGTGCTGTGTAGGTCGTTCAGCCCTTTGCGGCCTCGTCTGTGCTGCGACATGGCCTGCCTGGCTGGGCAAGCTTGCGCCTGCGCTGCCCTAGCGGCATCTATCGTCGACTTCGCGATACAGAATCCCCTCGCACAAGCCACAGCGATAGCCACAGCCACAATGACGGCATGTAGTTGAGGGTCATGGAATGTCCTCCAGCCGGACCGCCCGATAATGGCAATGTCAACGTCAATGCCACTTGGAGCGCCAGTGAGGCTAAACAGATGAAAGGGGGGGGGGAGGGGTCTCTGTTGCCAGTCGGTCTGTTCTGACAAGACAACTCCTTGTCCTTGTAGCGCATGCATGCACAGGAGTGACAGCTCAGTGACAACTACCCGGTACATACACACCCCACCTGATCCCCCCTCCATCTCTGATTCAACGATTCCCCGGATCTGCAATATATCGTATCACCCTGAATCCTGGCATCAACCCGAGGACAAAACAAAAAGGCTTTGAGCAGGTTTACCTACCTACCTACCGAGATACCCACCTGTAATATACATACCGAGATATCTACCGAAATCCCTACCGAGATACCTACGTTGGATAGGTACATGGCCAAAGCAGAGCTGAGCAGAGTCAGCCAAACCAAAAAGGTTACTTTGGCAAATTTGGAATCAAACGAGCAAGAGTCTCCTCCCTCCCTCCCTTCCTTACCTTCTAGAATCTTGTTCTGCCGAGTCGATCAAGGGCACTAAGGGAGGCTTGACTAGCTAACCACTCTTCGGAACCTGCTCTGCAATGCCGCTCACTCCACTCGGTCATCGATCATCGAGCACTCCTAGCTCAATCGGCTTGTACCTCGCAGGAGAAACTCACACACCAGACCCTGAACCGGCGATTGAACAAGCATAAGCGGACATGCGCGGAAAGGATTCGTGGCATAATGTGCCGATCATCCCATTGCAACTAATTGCTACCATTACATATCTCATAAGGCCGATTGATTCAGCACCAGGTACAAATGTACCCGCAGTAAGATCATTGCAGGAAGCTGAACTCCACTTTTCATGTGAAAAGACCACTTCTCGCCACCTTCATCACGATGGCCTATTCTTCCATCCCTTTTGACGCCCTCAATGTAGCCAGAATCTGACCCATGCCGATCCGAGCGACCGTGGCCTATTGCCGCCACTTGCGCAAGCATGATGAGCGGGGCCGCTCCATTGGCCCCGGCTAACGCCGAAGCGAGCCCCCCCGCAGCAATTCCATGGACTCTGGTGGTGCATAACCCGGACTCGTAAGGATAGGAGCCAGCTGAGAATATTGATTAGAAGCCCATTCTGCGGTGATAAGGATGTCGGAATGGCGTCGAATCAGACCATTTCAGTCAGTCACAAAGTCGCACCGCCACGTGAGTGGGGCAGACGAAGAGACTCCTGACCCCTCCAATCCGTGCTAGCTGTCTTTGACAGAACTGCCTGCACGTTCTGATTGATCAAGCATCCTCGGTTTTCCACGGAGGTGCTAAAGCCACAGAGAAACTTCTGTGCGGGGTATCATCAAAAGGCCGCCTTGATCCGGCAAACATGGGAAGACCAGCTGCCGTCCCGGTCTTCCTGGGAAGCAAAACAGATTCCGCGCTAATTGGTACATGTTGTAAAAGGTTGTCAATTGTTAGTGAAGGCCTTTCCTCTCTTTCAGTCGGCCGGTGCCGGAGTGTGAACCTCGAATTCTGCAGAGCGATTAAACTCTGGCAGGGGCGGATGCAGCATGTCATCCTCGCTCGGGCCTGGAAAGAAAGTGTCGGGCAGGACGGGCATACTTGAAAAGTTCACCTGAGGAAATTCTCCAAAGTTGTGACTAGCCAGGGCAAGCTGCTGAGTGAAAAACTCGTTGCCAAGAGCATTGAGGTGGGCCTGAATCTCTTCGGGAGATTTGCATCCTTCACAGTTTGCATGTGCAACAAGGACTGCGTTCATCTGTTGGATCTCGTCCTTCATGCGCATGATCTGATCTTTGAGGTAGGCATTCTCAATGGCTTTCTCTTGCGAGTCACGTTGTAATTTTTCTGTCTTTTCCTTCTTGTTGATCCGGCACTTAGCAGCAGCCAGTCGATTCTTCTCGAGTGACTGTTTTCTCTTCTGCACTTCTGGCGAGTCTCCTTGTTCGATCGTGATGGAAGACTTTCGCGTGGCCTTTCGCTTCCGTCCCGCGGTAGTCGCCTTAGGCGGCATGGAGGCTGCCTCTGAAGCTTTCGGGCGACCTTTCCCCCGTCTTCGTGGTTTTGGGTCCGCCGATTGAGATTTGGGAGACAATTTGTCCTCTTTTGAGTCAGTGCTAGCCGTTGAGTTCGATCGCGGCGGTGTCATTTGGCCATATCGTGAGATGGCTGTGGTGGGGTTGGGTAACACGGAGGTGATGAACTTGTCCATCTCGTAGCTGTCAAGGTTGAGCGGTATTTCTGTAGATGGCTTCAAGTCATCGTCGCGCTCGAACTCAGGCCATTGAGACATCGCATAGTCATCTGGTGGACTGTAAACCTGGAAGTCATTGAGCACCAGAGGTTTCTGCGGTGGGTCAAAGCCGAAATCGTCGTCTCCAGATGAGACAGGTGCATAACTAGTGCTGGAAGGAAATTGGTAGTCGCGGAAGCTGTAACCATCAAGGTCACTGATGCTGGGAGTGGCGGAAGCGATGCCAGCGGACGACATGTCGGAGTGACTCGCAAGAGTGCCCATTTTGAATAATGTTTCTTAAACCGCAATACTCAATTTAACGAGCTTCGCTGCCCTTGAGAGCACGGTGGCTAGCCAGGGCGTAGATTCCGTTTGGGGTACCGTTTGGGGTATCGCCTGCGTTGAAAGCCCGAGGGTGGCGTTGGATTGGCCTGTTTGTCTGACGGGTGTGTTTGTTTGGATGTATCTAGAATGGTGGTACGGAGGAGGGATATATGGCCCCTATGGTGGGAAGCGGGGAGGTGTGAAGATTAAAGAATGTTCCAGAGGGAGCGAAGGGAGCAAGGAACAAACTTCTAGGAGATGGGTAGGGCGCGTCGTTGGGTTCGGAAGGGAGACAGTTTTATTTAGGATCAGCAATCGAGGAGTGGGTAGTAACGGGGTGGAACTCCAAGGACGGTATTTTGCACTGGATCTGAAAAAGGATCGGGAGAAAAATCCTCCTCTTGCTGGGTGAACGTGTTGTGAGGATTGTGCCAGGTGGTCGCGGTGGGCTGTCTTGCTACACAAGTGGACCACGGCTGGTGAGAGGAGAACAAGAGATCGACCGATGGTTCTAGTGGAAGTGTGGCGGATACTTGACCCGGCCTGAGAGTGGCTTTTCCACCTGAGCACAAAGGGCCCCAGTGGCTGCGAGACGCCAGGGTGGAGTGGCTGATTCGAGCAATCCTGGTAGGGCGTCAAGGAACAAACTTCCAAGAGGGAGGAGAGGACGGGCTGGACGGGAAAGTGTAGGAGAGCAAATGAGGAGCCGGAGAGGTATCTCGTTGCGGGTGGTGGCCGTGTGTGGCCGTGGTGGCGTGGATGAAGTCTCCTAGAACGGCATGTGTAGGTAGGAAAGGAGCGGTCTTGGTGCTCTGCTGGGTGCGGGGAAAGGATGGAACAGGGAGCAGGGAACAGGCAGCAGGGAACAGGCCAGTAAGGGAGATGAGAGCAACAGCAAAGAAGTTGGAAGTTTGGCTCATCGGCGTTGGATGAGGAAACAAAGAAAAGGGAAGACGGAAACGGCCCATGCAGCAATCCATGGCAGCGGAGGCAGAGTAACCAAGTCCAATGCCAGCCAAGAGGCTCCAAGAAATTTCACCCAGCTCCCCCTCTCACACACGCTCCTGCCTCAGGTCTCGCCTCTGGGCTCTGTCCCATCAACCAATACACTCACCAATGCTACTGTTTGCAGTTGGCGTGGCATGTCACTCATCGTGCATCTGTGCCTGCGTAGCTGCAAAGCCGCATCGTTGCCCCTCTAGCTCCCCTAGCTCCCCTTAGCTCGCAGCTCTGGGGATCGCTTGCCGCCTATGTCATCGACCATCGGTCATGGAGATCGGCGGAGATCCCCCCAGTTTCTCGGGTGGGTTTCTGGCGGTGTCTGGTCATGGGAATTATGGAAAGTGCCATCTCCCACGCTGATCCACTCGCTACTGAGCGCCACTCGGGCTCGCACCTCCGTCGAATCAACCGCGGCCTCACGCCTCAGCAATCCACCAACACGCGGACAGCCCTGCGCTGGCCATCGTCGATTCCCATGCTGATCGCCCGTCTTACATAACCGCCGATTCCCAGCAGTTCGATCGCTCGGCTACGTCAAACTTACGGGCGAATCAACTACGTACGGTCAGCCCAAGGGGCAAGCCACAATCGTGGCACGAAACAGGAGGAAACTCAGCTTTGGACAAGGAGAACTGCTGGGCCAATGCAGCCTTGGTGGCCCCGTGGTTTGGTGTTACCCTCGACTGTCGTTTCTCAACGGGAACAAACAAAGCGCAAGAGAATCAACATCACGCGGAGGAGGCGACGACACGACAATTCAGCGACCATCGGCCATGTCATGGCATGCGTCATCTCCCTGGCCTACTCACCATGCTCACCCTCGCCGTATCCCTCCCCTTACCCTCTCTACACCGGGTGGCACTTCCCCCGGACATCAGATCCGGCCATTGTCACAGGCCCATAGTGCTCAGGGTTTCCGTTTGCAGGCAGCGCAGGAGATCGATCCGTGCACACGGTCGAAAAGACAAATCTGTTGTCGATTGTTGCTTTGTTGGGTATCTTATTATTATGGCAGCTGTCTCCTTGCTCCAGAGTCCCACAAGCACCCGAAGATATGCGTCATACTTGTCCTTGTATGCCTCATTGTGACCGCGCTCTCTCATGCTCCCTGCTATGCCTGAACAATTGGTGTCACTGTTTTTTTTTAAAACAACATAAGCGTCAACCCAATCAGACCGACCCCCGCTGCGGAAACCAACTCCCATCGAGTGGCGCCTACGCTGCCGCCATTGTTGCTCTGATCGGTTGAGCTGCCACTCCCGCTGCTAGACGCCGCGGCACTTCCGGTTGACGTAGCTGTGGATGCACTTCCGCTGGCCCCAGTATTGCTGCTAGAATCGCCGAATGCGGTGATCGTCACGGGAATGAAGACGCTATTTTGTTGTGAGCGCCTAACACCCCTCTGAAAAGAACTATAAGAAAAGCTCCTGGAACATGGACTTACAGTTCCGATTGCGACAGCACTGTGGTCGTAGTGGTCGTGATCATTTTAGTATTAGTGTCGGTTGCCGTCGATGAGTCTGTGGCCGTGGCCGTTACCACATCCAGGATATCTGCCGGTCCGATGTATGTCTCAGTACACGTAGCAGCTGTTGTCCCCTTCAAATTGCAGTCGAGCATGAGCGATAACGGGTCGAGGGTTTCTGCCGCGAGAAAGGTTGACGGGCCGTAAGTGATGGTCACCGCGTCAGGGCCAAAGCCACATTCGGTCATGTCTGCGTTTGTCGGGCACGAGATGGCCATCGTCGTCCTGGAAGCATCCTACAACGCCAAAGTTAAGTCGATATATGCATGCAATTAGAGAAAACTAGTACATACGGATGCAATGAGAGATCCCATGAGAGTTTGTTCATCCGCACCAGGAATGAAAACGTTGATAACAGATGACGATTGAGCGCTGACCGCGGCAGCCAACGCCAGGGCGAAGGCTGATGTCTTCATGGCCACCATTTGGAATACTGCACGGGGGACTTTTCAGTGGCAGGACTGCTGAATTTTTCGATCCTGGTCAACAGGTATTAGGCACGCGACGCACAGAAGATGCAAGGTCAAGGACGATGAAAAAGAAAAGCCACAGGAGGTTGGAGAAAAGAGGTGCATCTCATAATCCCTCCGCAAACAGCGATTTGACCCTTTTGCCGAGTTCCGGGGACATTGTTTTGGGAAATTGGCTTGTGTCGATGGTGTGTCGGGTCACTCTCTCAAACTCCCCCTATTTCGTTTCAGCCCAAACACTGGGCAGGGGGTCTGGCGCCAAAATCGTGCGGAATGCGGCTTAGCCAGTTAAGTTCCTTGGGAAGCAGATAAAGGGTACCCACAGAGTCGAAGCTCAACGAAGCAATTAAAAACACACACAAAACAAAAAAAAGGGTGTGCTGTTTGGTTCCCCCGGTTTCGGGCAGCGTTTTCCAATACCAACCAACCTACCAGGTCACTGCACATGACAGCGGCTGTTCCCGAGATCATACTCGGTACATATACCTATGGACTGCACCACATATATGTCCCGAGGACATCAGACATCAAAGAAACAATCGAGACGGAGAGACACCCTGCTATCTCCGCCGGTTTGCTTTGAGGCCAAGCGAAATTTGACGTTGGGATCAAGTTGGCAGACCGTCCAAGTCGTGAGTCGGGAAGTCGTGAGTCGTGACTGCTCGCCACCGAAACACGCACTTGATTGGGGAAACGAGCTGCAAACACCGGCTCCTCGTCTAGGCCAGATGACAATACCTAGCCAAATTGAGCGATACCGATATTAACGTTAATCAAGATTCTACTCTGTACTAAGTAGGAGTGACCTGCCGACAGAAATTGGGCAAAGGATGGTGGGTGACTGGAAAGGAGCGCAGTGACAATGCCAAGCACCCACCCGCCGACTCTCCGGGAAATGACGCGCTTGTCCGTTTCTGGTCAATGAGCTCACGTGCTCATTGCCGTCTGTGGTTAACCAGCAAGCTAGTAATAAGTTGCAATCAGTGAAGATCCTCCCACACTCCACTCGCTGGTCTGCACTACTCAAAGGTAGTGAAGCCTACCTGCTCGTTAGGTACAGCACAATAACCATGTACGAGGTACCCGGTACCCAGTACTTCGTGCTCGTAGGTAGGTTACCCCGTAAGGTGTACGGAGTACAGATCTTGTCGTCAGGCACCGTCGCCGCCGCCGACATCAGTGTCTCGGCTTAGGAGCAATCCTTCCGCCTGTCCATCTACCTCTGTATCCGCCTCGCTGAAACTGTAGACTTTTCTCGTGTCGACGCCGTCAATTCCACGAACGCCTCCGTTACTACCGTGATTGACCACCAAGGTCTTAGACCTGGCCAGTAACATGTCCAGTTCCTGCTTCACCTCCTCACATCTCCGTCGGCGTCGCGGATCTCGTTCGAGCATTCCGGATATGCATTGAACCACACTCTGGCCTGTACCGGGTTCATGTCCTTCACTGTCAATTTTCTCAGCCAGGCCAGTTGGCGTCCTGCCCTTCTGCAGGTCCCGCAGGACATGTATGCGCTCTGTGCTGGTCAGGCAGGGCCACAGTAATTCAACGAAAATGACACCTAGCGCAAATACGTCCACCTTCTCATCCATGTCTGGATTGGACTTTGCCTTGCCTTCTGAGTCAATCCACCGCGGAGGTCGATAGTATTCTGTGCCCACCGCTTTGCTGGTCTTGCCGCCGTTGTTGCTGGTCTCGATGTCACCCTCTCTTGCCAACTGCGCAACAAGTCCGAAATCACCAATCCGTGGGTTAACGTAATATGCGCTAGGATTTGCGCAGCCGACGCAGGATCCAACGTCGTAATATCCGTCTGACACTAACCCTATCATGGGAATGCTCAAGCTTGAGATGAAGATGTTGGAAGGTTTGATGTCACGATGCACCAATCCCTTCGCGTGAATGTACTGCAAGCCGCACAGGATACCCATGAGCAGTCGTAAGGCCGGTACCAAGTGGAAACAGTGTCTGCGAACGGGGTTGCCGGGAGCACTTCTTGCATTGGCTGGTGCTGGTGCTAGATACTGTGCGAGTGTCATGGGATATACTGACATCTGCACGTGTAGCACATACACCGACTCATCCACGGCTGGATCTTTCGAAATGCTGGCCCTTGCGTTGCCATCTGTGAAGATTTCAGAAGCCCGCACCGAGGATTGGTCATGATCGGTCTCACTGACGGATCGGGTGGGAATGGCGGCGCTCTCCATATCCTGGGCCGGAGTATTCGGTCTACTGTCAAAGCCGAAGATGATACCATCGCCGTGATCTGACACTGGCAATCTTGTTGGAGCATTTTGATCCGTGGGCTGGGGATGTCTTGGGCGGTCGGCAATGAGTTTCCTTCCCTGAACTGTGAGGGTTTGTTTCCCAGGCTGGTATACAGCATCAGATGTCCCCCTCGGTTCCTCTATCCAGGTCGCATGATAGCGGACAATATTGTTGTGCTCTAGCTGCGCCAAAGCCTGTACTTCTCGCAGTATGTTTTCCAGCTCTTTGTGTCCAGATTCTCGGTACCGTTGCGATAGCCGAGGACTTAAAGGAATCTTCTTGACAGCGTATTCCTTCTTGTCAAATAGGTTGTAAGCATGATATACTCTCCCAAATCCCCCTTTTCCAAGTAATCTCAGTTGCTGAAAGCTCGACTCGTAGTGACTGCGACGGGTTGAGGGCACAGATAAGATCAGGTCACGGGAAGGTGACAAATGAGTCTGATCGTGGAAAGAGAGATTTGTCACAGGCGATCCGAGGAAGTTGGGTAAGAGGCTCTGGGTCTGATTGTAGACGCTGTTCACCGCCGGTTGATGTTCAAGTAATGGAAGATGATTCCGAGCTGGCCCTTGGAGAAGATCGTGGCTCTGTACGCCCCCGAGGGCAAGACTTTCGATGCCGGCGAGGTATGCCGCTCGTGTTTGCTGGTTGCCCTTGTCATTGCTGGCCGGGAGGATGCCAGTCAGAGATAATGATTGACTCAGTTGCTCATAGAACTTTTCGGCCAGCGGCTGGACTTCCGCCGATAGTCTGCTGAATCTGGATCCTGGCCTTGCATTATTCATGATCTCGCATGCTCTGTTCCGGGCAAAGTCCTCCAGAAGAGCGCTGAGCAGGTTGGTCCGGTGCTGGTCGACATTTGAAAAAGAACTGGCCGGGGCATCCACCTCGTCTCCGACTGATACACTGCCATGGCTCGACAGTGATTCTGTGATAGTTGTCTGGCCTTCAACACTTTCGTGAACTTGTTGTGTAGAGAGCTCATCTTCCTCTGAGCTGTCATTTTCTGAGCTGGAGGAGCTTCCATCGGAAGGGCGTCGAAAGAAAACAGAACTCATCCCTTTGATCACAACAAATCAACCTCACTCGCGGCAGGCCTCCAAAGACAATGACCATCGCACGAAGAGGAAGGAAGGCGGAAGGAACGGACAACTTGATGGTCTTGTGGACAAGTCAATAACTAGAGATGATGGCAGTTTTCTGGGGAGAATGAAGAAAACGACGTGTTTTGGATGTTCAGTCGTCTATACTATATTGTTGGCACGGCTACGTTGTGGCCTTTGACGCGATGCAAGGCATTGGACACCTTTTCGGTACGTAGCCATTCACAGCTTGGCGAGACGTGCCACGCGATTCGACGCCGTTCCGCATTGACTGAGAAGTCGAAGGGCGTGCGAACGTTGACAATGTGACAAGGCACCCAAATTCAACTGTGTTTCAGCCTTTAATTGTGATGGGCGAGAAACCTACACCGGCTTCAACTTGAAGGTAGGCGGTACGATTGGAGAATATATCAGGCTTGCAGGTCACCACTTGGTATGTAATTAAGTCACTCTCCCGCTCCTTAACCACACCTACTAGCTCCCACCGCGTGGATCACATGACGTCATATACAACCCAGGACAAGGCTGCACGAGGCTGCACGAGGCTGCATCGGGCAATTGACTTATTTACGTGGCTCGTCAAGCAGTTCACCATCAAATGCCTGTTGGCGCAGACCTTGGTAATGCATTATTCCCGCTCATATCCTCCGATCATACCTCGTCGTTTACATCGAGATCTTCAAAGTCATCCAGCAGCTCATCCATGTTTATCTGAGGCACTTCATCGTCGCTGCTCTCTCCAGTCACCATGCTCATCTCATCTGCATCCTTCTTTTTCTGATGCTTGCTCTTGTACAATGCTAGCGTTTGTCTGAGCTCGGCGTCTTCCTCCACGTCTCGCAAGAACATTTCATAATCGGCATCCATCCTCTCCTGGTCTGCTTTCTTTGGTAATAGTTCGCCCTCATCTTTAACCATCCGCTTCAGTTTCCAGTTTCTGGACTTGGCCTTCTTCTTCCTGGCATAGAACTTCTTTACTAACATCACGTCTGGGATAGTTGATGAATAATTGTTGCTCTGCTCCAAATCCTCGAACTGCGGGTTGTTGAAGTTTGTTCCTGTCAAGTGATAGCCAAGCACTGAGTCCCCGGCGTGCAACACGCCTCCAAGATGTGTCCGGCAGTAGTAAGTCTTGTCATTGACTCCAAGGTCTGACGCTCGTGCTACGGTGGCCTCGGCTCCGAAGAACCGGCCGTTTTGAGTGCCCAGGGGTTCGATGTCGAGCACCACAAACTCTACAAGTTCCTGCACATCTGCAAGACTTTTGAAAGGCGTTCGCCAGTACGTCGATGTCGGCATGTCTGTTGTCTGTAGCGTAGTAGGGTCTAGCAGATTGATTGACGTGCCTACTCTGTAGCAGAGGGTCAAGGGCGCAATGTTCCCGATGGATTTGGCCATCTTGATAGGCAAAGCGACTAGATCATCTTTGCAAATCGGCAATAGCTCGCAAGAGAATGTGAATTTGTATGACTTTGCGGATGTATGGATATCCATGGAAATCAGTTCTTGGGACTTCTTTACTCTGACTGGTGCCACAGAGGTGAGGAAGTCGACAAATTTTTCGGCATG